CTGCCGGTATTCATGAACTTAATCGTGTCTCTTTTTCAATTGGATTGAACCATTTTGACGATCTTCCTATGATCTCGATTATTGAAGGATATAATATTAATGTCTGGTTAGGCCCAATCTTAAGTCAAGTTTATGTCGTCTCAATGCGTGATTTACGCGAGAAGCTAGCTCTGGTCAAATAGACAACACTAGAATTACACCACATAATAATCTTAACACCAACACCATCACTCGATGTGCAAAACACCTCTGATAGTGGTGAGGACAAAGTCTTACTTTCAAATAAATAGTATATTATACAACAAGTGCGTGATGGTTTTTTTTGGCTCGTGGGGGGCTTGTACCAGGAGCCGAAGGCGAGTGCTACATTCCCGCGAGTCAAAAAATGTCAAAATATTTTAAATCATTGGGCCCGTAATCCGGGATTCTAACAGGCGAAGTGAGGTTAGAATCGCGTGATTACAAGCACATATGACATCAAAAAATTAGAGACCCCTAAATACCCCATCAATATTATTCATTAGTTCTTGTCCACCAATTTTTGGCATAAACATAAAAAATATCTTCCCATAGGCTGCCATAAGACTCATGCAGTTTTTTTGTCGAGCGATTGTAAAAATTTTGTTATGCAAAATGCAAATTTTTGCAGCGTTCGCCAATGTAACGGTTTTTTATACAACGGATTTCTTATCAGAGTTATATTCATTTTCTCAACAACGACTATTTATCCACGAATTATGTGCTTCACATTATTGCGTAAAGTTATCGCTCCCCCCAGAATCTCGGACAATTGTTCTATTTTACTTATTGAATTCCAGCAAATATCGTCTGAGTATAAAACAATTGTTAAAAATGATTCCTCATCATGAAAGCATTGAAAAAAATGTTTTTACTAATATTGCTGCCTATTACAAATAAAAAATTAATATATGTATTTCAAATTGATGGAAAATTGAAAATTTCAGCTCGATTGCACGGTCATCGGTCGAACCAAGGCTGAACGAGGGAGAAAAATTGAATTAGAATAGGTAACTTCGTTAAATCGATAAGGCCCCTATTAGGAGCTGCGTGAGCCCGATGAGCCCAGGTTGCCGAGCTCTCACGACAGGAAAATTATTTCCCCTAATGATCATAAGGGTTCATACGCAATTATGTATGACTGCATTTATTCTCCTGCTAAATAAAATTTGGAAAAGTACAAAAAAAAGCTAATTTATTAGGTCCTAAAATTGGATAGAATTCAAAGGAAATGTTTAACAAAGAGCAATTTTAGAAATTAATGATTAAGTATTTTTTCTGTACTTTTCAAAATTGAATTTATAAGAGGCAATTCCGATACAAGTAATTGCGAATTAACTTTCTAGATACTTAAAACATGCGCTCAACGTCACAAACTTTTCGACATGAATTGCTCGGTGCAGTTTTCTCACCACTGCCTTCACTTTTCGCCACCTAATTGAATAATTAATATCTCGGGTCCCATGTCGAAACACCCTTCTACAATATAACCATCAATTCTCTGCTAAGTACTCTATCCCATATATTTTTTCCAGATTTGTAAAAATCTGTAAACAAGTTTTTTTACAATTTGTACATTTGTTTATTTGAAAAGTCTTTTAGCAATTGCACTTTGTTATAAAAATGAAATTGCTACATGAATCTGTTACTCTTTAGCAATAAACGAGTACTTTACTATTTTTTCGATACAACCAATATTTATCGAGTTATAATGCTATAAACAATTGCATGTCCCGAAGCACAATTTCTTTTTTGGCGAAAAAAAACATAATTATCTCAAAGTAAATTTCCTATAAATTAGAATTAAGAAAGAAATTAAATTAGAAATCCCGCCTTTTTTCAAATGGAATAGACCTGTTTTCAAAATGAGGTATCATTTTCATAAAGCTCACCGAAGCCCGGTGGCTTGGCGCAGTGAGTAAGGTCATTACCTGGTAGTGGATAAGTTCCAGGTTCGATTCCTGGCCGGATAGAATTGTGAGATCTAATCATTACTAAAGTCATCAATCGTCACATAGTAATCATGACTCGAAGCGATGTCAAATAAGTAATTAAAAAAAAATAATAAATAAAGCTCACCGTGTGTTGCCTCAATGATTTGGCGCCAGTTATCAATATTCTATCAATTGGAACCTTTCCCTGATGATTCCCCAATTATTCAAGAAAATTACGATTATTGTGATGATTGACTAGATAATGCATATTTCGCACTGGTAAGAACCTGAGAAGCACATAAAACATGTAAAACAAAATATAATCGCTTTGAAAAAGAGCCTGATAAATTAAAAAAAAAACAAAGTATCAAGAAAAACGTTGGGGTGAGCGGTCCATTTATCCCCCTCCATGGTATTTGATTAATATGGATGAGATTCAGTTTAAGAATTAGGTCAACAACTGAGAATAATGCAACTAAGGACAAGTTAGCAAAGATGAATAAAGAGATCGAATGCAAATGTCACAATTATAATACGTTTTCCTGTCGTTTTTATCGAGCGATTTTATATTCCTAATGGAGCAGTAAAACTCATTGGTAATCATGCAGAATATTTTCAAGGTTGCAGTATATCACATATAAAACGAACTGACAACTACGTCTTAGAAAACCTGTGCACTTGAGGTTATGATAAAGACAACTATATAATTATTAGTTTTAACTTGAATAAAATTTGATTTTTATGCAAAAAATCCTTTTCTAACCTTAAAGTCTAAACCACAACTCACAAATATTGAAACTCATCGAAAAATTATTCACTGCAATTCCAGAGAGTTATATGTCAACTTCTGTAAACGTAATTAATAAATCCAAATCCAGGTACGAACCATTCAATCAATTACTAAAATATTCTGGGAAAAACACTTTTATAGACTTTACATAGGTCTAATGAAAAAAAAAACATTCATAAATTATTTGTTCAAAATAACAGATATTAATTTTTTTTTCACACTTTCGTACACTTATATGTTACGTCTGTATTGTTATGTACCGAACTGATTATTTGTTAGGCCAGGTGGCGGGATCTCTGCTTGTGCACTGTAAATTATTCCGCTCTACAAGTGCGGGATGTTTCAAATAATTCATAAATTTGAACAATTTTTCGCATTTCATGAATTTTCTGAATTCTCTAAAAAATATTTGAAAAAATTTCCTTGGAAGTCATGCTCCGATGACTTAGGTCTTCCTAAAAC